CGGGAAGGGGCGGGGCGAGGGCGGGCGCGGGGACGGAGGCGCTGTTCACCCTGAAGCCTACTGATGGCAGCTGCGGTCCAATCCCTGACCAGCTGTGTCTCATTGCACGATCTGTGGGGCAGGCTCCTGCTGGAACAGGCTGAGCACAGCGGGGCTGAGCGTTGGGCTGCCTGGTACCGCTGCCGAGGGCAGGGTCTGCCCTCCCCATGGAAGCCAAAGGACTGCTGGAGCACGGACAGCCCTTGCTAATGCTGAGACGCTGTGGCCTTGTGGTCACAGCCATAATTAACAGTGCTGTGGGCTCCCCCACCGGATGACATTTGCTCCCTGCTGCCATTAACAGGCAGTCAATGGCGAGTCAGAGCCTTATTTCTGCACCACAGGGCCCAGGAGAGCAGCAGGGCAGGTCTCGTTACTGCCCTTGCCTGCACGCGATGGCCACAAATGCCATTTTTATGTCAAGCCCTCTGTTCTGCCTTTCTGGGTTGAAATTTGATTCCCAGCTTCATGTCAAGGCCCTCCAAGCCCAGCAGCTGCCGTAAAAGTCAGAGTGGCCAGAAAGAAACCCCAGGAAAAGGCAGCCCCAGGCAGGGCGGGTCCTGCCCGACCTGCGCGAAGGGCAGCACTGCAGTGGCAAGCACAGTGCGGGGAGGCTGCAGTGAAGTTGGCTGGGCTGGGGGAGGCAATTCCCGGCTCGCCGCAGGCGAGGTGTGTGCCACCAGGCCCACAGCCTCCTGCACCGGGGGAGGAACTCGATGAGGTTTGATTATCACTAATTGTAGGTGTGGCAGGTCTCTGCAAAATTTAGTCAGGCTGAGTGCCCGTCAGTTTCCCACCTGATGGCTGATACTGTGACAGCAAAGCTTGCTTATGTAGCAACACTTGTTCCTGTGGGATGTTCCCTTCGCTGTAATTATGTGCTGTCAAATGTAAAACATTGCAAGTCTGGAATAAAAATATTGAGTCTCCACCTAACACAGCCTGGCTGAGCTATGGCATCCCGTGCACAGCCCCTGTTCACAGCGGCGGGTGCTTGTACCACAGGCCAAGCCCTGCATGCAGCCCCGCAGCCCCATGGAGGGGCACCCTCAGCCCTCAATGTCGCTGCTGGATCCCCGCTGCCACAGCTGGCAACCCCCAGTGAGGGCGGTGCGGGACTCAGATGCTGGCTCGGCAGGCGTGAGGAGCACCCAGAGTGGAGGGCTGTGTCCAGACACGGAGAGCTGAGGGCTGGGTCATGCTGGCAGTAGGACTTGCCCAGCTAAACCAAAAGCCATGAAATGAGAGGTGCGGTGAGGGCTGTTGAGGGGCAGCAGCCCAGTGAATGTGCCCATGCAAAAGCTGGTGGGGGCACGGCGCTGCAGGGGAAGAGCAGTGTCGTGTGTCAGCACAAACGCACTGCACTTAAACACCTTAAAGTGTTAGACACTAAAGCCTGAATTCTGCGGTGCCTCACACATGCATAAGTTTACTGGAGCAGGTATCCTACTGAAGCCTGCTGCCAGTCAGACTCAGATTTGCACATTGCATAATAAGATTAATTAGATATGGTGACTGCAGTTCATTTGCCTCATGCCCCAGGTTCTAAGTACTCTCTTCCTGAAGTCAGTAAGACTACCCATGTGAATACGTTTAACCATATGTGAAAGTCCCTGCAGGATCAGGAATCCTGAGCAACCCAGGTACCAACTCAAAACCCAGAGCACAATGTTTCTTTAACCTGTTCCACAGGAATCTTGCCTTTCCAAGCATTTTTTTTAACACCTAGGGCATGTTTGCTTTCGAGAGGTTTGGGAGGCATTGCATCTGAGTATAAATCTGTTGGAAATCTGGGGCTTTTGGCCAGTTAAGAGGAAGATGCTGCTGCTGTGGCCATTCTGCAGAAATGGAGGAAACATTTTTCAAGCACGATGAGGATTCACAATTGGATTTGACAATATATACCTCTAATATTTCTACTTGCTCTCCATGTCTTCCAGCACTCCCCTCCCACCCCAAAGCACCAACCCCCCATATTCCAGCTCAGCCCCAAAAACTGCTAGTCAGCTACCACGTTAGTTGTAGCCTGGCAGAGCTGGGGGAGAGACCCGTAACAGGACACAGACAGCCCAGCTGGATGCCTGAAGCCGGAGCGTGTTTCCAGCTCTCCCTCCATTTCTCAGCCCCTCTGGAAACACAGCCACTACCTTTTCTCTGTGTTAACTTGACCAGCGAGAAAATCCCCATCCATTTATCAATGCTCTTTCTGTCCGAGAGAGCTCAGCATGGGCTGGCGCTTTGCTGCGGTGCTGTCGCAGCGCAGCAGTGCTTCGAGCCCAGCCGATGCTTCCACCTCATGCCTGCAGCCCAGGAGCTCCCCGCGAGCTCAGGGTACAGTCCTGGTGACTGGGGTCGCACGTTCATATGATTAAAACTCTTCCTCCATCACATTACAGGGCAGGGAAGCAAAAGACAGGGTTTATTTATAATCTTCCTCAAGTGCAAACCAGAAGTAGTGACCCATTATTACTGGAGACTTTTCAAGCCACCCAGGAAGAAAAGCAATATTTAGTTGTCGTTAAAGGCTCATAACTGCATAACAATTTCATGCTATGTTAACTTCTAGGTTTTCTTTTGCATATAAATTTTTGAGGAGTAAAATAGAAAAACCCAGGCACTTGACCTTTAATCACAGTTATTTGTGTGATCAGTCAAGTGTGGGAAAAAGCTAGTTTGTGCTTGAAAGATGCCCTTTAAAACTAGATTGCTCTAATATGACACACAATTCACATGGTGTAATATATGGGATCTTGCTACCAGCCTCTGGGGCACAACAGCCTCCCATTTAGTATTCATGCGCAGGATCTTGCTGCTGGTACATTGGAAGGTATTAATGTCATGAAGCAAATCGATACAGACCCCCGGGATAGCTCCATTCACCACCGAGACCCGTGGGAGGTGTACGCATTCATGTCATTGGAGAACCAAACAGGGAAGAGTATTTTCAATGTATATGGAGGATTTGATGTTAGAGGTATGTTTCACTAGAAGAAGGGTATGTCATGCTAACAGAGTACAAAGCTTTTCCATTTATCTCAAATACTATTTCAAGCACTTACAAAAGCTTAATATTAGAACAGCCAGAGGTATTTTAATTACGATTTTGAAGTATCATGTTGTTTTGGGGAAATGATCTCATGTTTTTTTCTTTGGCAAGACTAAAAGCCATTGCTGGGGTGAAGGAAACAGAGCAGCCTTTTAAATTGAGACTATTGGATTTATTAATTATCAGGCGCAGCTGGTGACCAGGGACGGGCCTCTGAGCCCAAAGACAGGCTGCGGCGCAGCCAGGCAAGCACCAAGGACACGGCCCCACAAGGTCAGCAAGTAGGGCAGAGGGATGCTCTCCCCGGGACGGCACAGCAGACCAGCTATCTCCTCAAGCACCAGGCGTGACGAGGGGCCAGTTTCTGT